TGGTGGCCATGGTGGCCCTGGTGGCCACACTGAGCACTGTCCGTGTCCCCAGGGAGGACTGGAAGCCCGTGCTGACCATCAACTCCATCATCTACGGCCTCCAGTACCTGTTCCTGGTGAGGGACACCTGGGGACACCTGGGGGGGCTGGGGACACCTGGGGACACACCTGGGGACATCTGGGGACACCTGGGGGGGTTTGGGGACACCTGGGGGGGTTTGGGGACACCTGGGGACACAAACCCCAAACCCGGAATGAGAGGAGCGCCCCAAAACAGGAACCGAACCCCAAAAAAGGGATTGGGGGGTATTAATGGTTTTTTTGGGGTATTAATGGGGTTTTTTGGGTATTAATGGGGTTTTTTGGGTATTAATGGGGTTTTTTGGGTATTAATGGGTTTTTTGGGTATTAATGGGTTTTTTTGGGGTATTAATGGGTTTTGGGGCATCCCCACCCCAATTTTGGGGTCCCTGAAGCCCTAAATCTCCCCCAAAAGGAGCCAAACCCCAAAAAAAGGGATCTGGGGGGGTATTAATGGTTTTTTTTGGGGTATTAATGGGTTTTTTGGGTATTAATGGGGTTTGTTGGGTATTAATGGGGTTTTTTGGGTATTAATGGGGTTTTTTGGGTATTAATGGGTTTTTTTGGGTATTAATGGGTTTTGGGGCGTCCCCACCCCAATTTTGGGGTCCCTGAAGCCCTGAATCTCCCCCAAAAGGAGCCAAACCCCAAAAAAAGGAATCTGGGGGGGTGTTACGGGGTTTTGGGGCTTATTTAGGGTTTTTTGGGGTATTAATGGGTTTTGGGGGATATTTTGGATTTTTTGGGGTATTAATGGGTTTTGGGGCGTCCCCACCCCAATTTTGGGGTCCCTCGAGCCCTGAATCTCCCCCAAAAGGAGCCAAACCCCCCAAAAACGGGATCTGTGGGGGTGTTAATGGGTTTTGGGGGGTATTTAGGGGATTTTTTGGGGTATTAATGGGGGTTTTTGGGGTATTAATGGGGTTTTTTGGGGTATTAATGGGTTTTTTTTTGGTATTAATGGGGTTTTTTTGGGTATTAATGGGTTTTGGGGCGTCCCCACCCCAATTTTGGGGTCCCTGAAGCCCTGAATCTCCCCCAAAAGGAGCCAAACCCCAAAAAAAGGGATCTGGGGGGGTATTAATGTTTTTTTTGGGGGGGTATTAATGGGTTTTTTTGGGTATTAATGGGGTTTTTTTTTGGTATTAATGGGTTTTTTTGGGGTATTAATGGGTTTTGGGGCATCCCCACCCCAATTTTGGGGTCCCTGAAGCCCTAAATCTCCCCCAAAAGGAGCCAAACCCCAAAAAAAGGAATCTGGGGGGGTATTAATGGGGTTTTTTTGGGGTATTAATGGGTTTTTTTGGGTATTAATGGTTTTTTTTTGGGTATTAATGTTTTTTTGGGGGGGTATTAATGGGGTTTTTTGGGTATTAATGGGTTTTTTGGGTATTAATGGGATTTTTGGGTATTAATGGGTTTTTTTTGGGGTATTAATGGGTTTTGGGGTGTCCCCACCCCAATTTTGGGGTCCCTGAAGCCCTAAATCTCCCCCAAAAGGAGCCAAACCCCCCAAAAACGGGATCTGGGGGGGTGTTAAGGGGTTTTGGGGGGTATTTAGGGGATCTGGGGGGTGTTAAGGGGTTTTTTGGGGGGTATTTAGGGAATTTGGGGGGGTATTAATGGGTTTTTTTGGGGTATTAATGGGTTTTGGGGCGTCCCCACCCCGATTTTGGGGTCCCTCGAGCCCTGAATCTCCCCCAAACGCAGGAGCCGAACCCCGAGGACCCCCTGAACAAGGAGGCGGCCGAGGTCCTGCAGAGCAACCGGCGCCTCTTCGAGCAGAACGTGCAGCGCTCGCTCCGGGGGGGCTACGTGGGGGCCACCTACTTCGAGCGCTGCCTCAAGTGACCCCCAAACCCCCCCCAAAAAAAAACCCCAAAACCATCTCCCCCCC